CATTGACTCATCTTGGAATCAGTGAGAATCCCAAATTGAATCAGAAAGGATTGAAACAAGATTCAGAGTAGAAAGGAAAAGTTGAATAAATGTTTACATTGGAAAAGGTTGAATCAAAAGTGATTTTTGTGTTAGATATTTACAGGGATGGATACATCCAAGCATGTTGGTTGAAGCTGAATAAAAATGATAACATTTACCTTGCAGGCAAATACAAGTTTGTGTAAAAAAAGGTAATCATATTATAATCTATTGAATGAGTAAAACTGGGAAAATTCATCTTTCTTTCTGTTCAGCTCGAGACTTTAAGGTTGATAAAACAAGAAGAGTAGGAAGAAGAGTGTCAAAGAGGATAATTTTTTTGACTCATTTTTGAAAATATTTCACTCCATTTTCACTTCTTTTTGCTTATTCCTTTGGTTAATTTGAAACCATGATTTTGATTGAATCAAATATTAACTGAAATCGGTTAACAAGTTTTAACCTCAATCCTGTTATTTCAATGAAAGAAGAAGAAGAAGAAAAAAGTGAAGAATGATAATGAAAAAGAAAGAATGGAAAGGAAGAAAAAAAATATTAATAATAATGATAATTTCCAATGTCCTTTCCTTTAGGCTATCAATTGAAATAACAAAAGAATAAGAATCAACTCCCAGAGATAATAATAATAATGATAAAACACTATAACATTGGTTCTAGAATCGATTAAGGTGTAATTTAAATTGTCATCTATCAAGTGTTTGTAATTGGTTATTCAAGAAGGAGAATCAAGATGATGATGATGATGGTGATGTGAATGCAAAGGATGTTGTCATTTTTTCTGCTTCCATTCCTTGGGCGACAAAGAGGAAGACAAAAAAAGGCTGACATTGAATATCTTTGTGAGACGTTTTTGTTGTACTCTTGGGATTGAGGTGAATAAAGAGTGAAATGGTTAAAATTGGACTCATTTAACATTGAAGTCAATTATATTCAACTTTTTAAATTAAACGGTAATTGCAATTTACATGTTCTATTAGTATTTTGATTGTGCCAATTTTACTTGAAAGAGTTTCTCATTTACCATGTATTCTTGTCGAGTTCAACTGTAAAGGTTAACACAAGTGAAATACTGAGAATGGTGAAAAAAAGGAGAGAAACAATGCTCTACAAGTGACCTGATGATAATGATGATCATTTGCATTTGTAAAGCTCTTTATTGTTCTCTGTGTTCATTTAATGCTCATTTTACCGATCAACATTTTACACTTATTCTGGCTCATATCTACAACAATCAAACTGTTAATCATTGAGTTTTTGCTAAATTGAAAATTTTGATTCATTTTTTTCTGTTCAATGATTTTTTAAAACTTTGTGGGTTAAGTTGACTTGAAAAATGGAAAGATTTTTTTACAATTTTCTTTGCTTCCGATCAAATGATTCAGTTTGATAATTTGAAATGTTTTGACTTTTTTTGTCCTTCTGTTAATGTTGAGATTGGAAACGGAATAGGAAATGAGGAAAAAGAGTTCGTTGAGTGAATGGCAAAGATGAAGAGAAAAAATATCAACAAATGATGATAAAATGTAGAAAAGGTGAAAGAGTGTTTATTGGTAAATTTAATTTACCCATGAAAGGATGAAATTAACAGATTAGAGTAAAAGTAGTAATGAAATGATCAATGAAAACTAAGTTGAAGATGATGAATGACATAAAGGAAAGGTTGATCAAAGTGAGGAAGATTGAAGAGGAAGAAAAATAATGAAATGATAAAGCAAGGAAAGTGTGAAAATGGGCAAATTTGGATGGGTAAAACGGGGCAAAGCTCGAGTCAAATTATTAGATTTGAAAATATTAATTCAATAATGGAAATGTTCAATTGAAATGTTTTCATCATTCAAAATGAAATCATTTTTCTTTGTCAATAGCATAATTTGTTTAAGTCTTTTTTTTGTCTTCCAATGTCAATGTGGTCATATTAGAGGTAAAAATGGTCACAAAAACTATCATTTTTATGACAAGACAAGGAAGAAAAAAAAGAGAGAAAGAAAAAGATGAAAAAAAGAAAACAATTTCAAATTATTTTACCATCCAAATGGGTTCATCATTAACCCTCATCTTCATCCTTATCCTGATCGCCATCATTATCATTTTCAACATCAACTTGATCGTACAATTTCATGTGTTCATGTGTTCTTGCAGCATTTTTGTCTGTTAATGTCAGTAGATGTCCAAGCAGAAGCTATTTAAGCCTTGAACCTTCAATATATTCAGAGAAGAGGCAAACTTCTGAATCCTTATGGACAATACACATAAATATACACAGAGAAGAGTCTCTTCACTATCATCATCATTTCACATCCTTCTTCCTTCTCATTTTATATCCTCTTTCACTTTCTCTCTGTCTGTCTGTTTGTGTGTACAAAGAGACCTAATCGCTTGGAACCGACCCTCAACTTCACTCTGATTTTGTTAGATTTAAAAGGCTAGAGAAATGATAGAGAAAGTGAAAAGGGATGAAAATGAAAAAGATGGAGAGAAACGTTATTTCGGTTTGTAGGTTAAAAAAGAGCAAACTAAAGTAGAAAAGCTTCATATATAATAGTAATGATAATAACAATAATAATAATGTATAATACTGTGTTGGGTTTACAGTCTGTAGACAAATCTTCAGTCAACCGGAATGTACCTTTATCCACATCAACAGCAACAGCAAAGGCAGACGATGAGGCAAGGCAAACACAGAAAAAAGGATCATCATGTTGATGTTGATGATGGTGAATCTAAGGTATGTAGCCAAGTGAATCTCAATGTTTAAATTACTTATCATCAAGTTTACTATTTCAAGTTGTTGATTCTTCTTGCTTACATGTTTCTGTAAACATCATTTTTGTAAACTGAAAACGGTTGCTCAGTAAAAGTTTTGCAAACAAAAATCTCAACTTTGTAAGCTGCAAATTCAAATCAGCAATTTATTAATTGTTAGCAAATGCTCAGGATCAGTCTTTTCAATCATTACATCACCATCAAGTTTCTCATGAAATATTGAGTTCACTGGAAATGAATGCTGATTTGCAACTTGAACCATTCAAATAATGCTTCTACTTTGATCTAAAACTGTTGAAGCAAATTTTCAAATTTTCAGACTAAAATAACAATCGAATTTTTTGCTTTCAAATTTGGCGATTATAACACAGTCTTGCATAAATGAAATGGCATTCATCATCATTATCATCCGTCTTTACTAATCACCATGTTGGCTTGAAATAAAAATGAAAAATATTCGCTAAACAACAACAACAATACGCAAACCAATAATCAGGTAAAATTGTTGTTCCACCTTCAATAATTGATGGATAAGGTTGAAATAACGTTTTTATATTTAATTTATTTTATTCATTGTAGATCAAGCAAAAGTGAGTGAAAGATATAAATAAACATCATCATCATCATCATCAACTTCATTGTTATTGGAAGTAAAATGATGAGAAATACCTTATAAATCATTTGAAAAGTAAAACAGAAGCAAAGAGAGTGAAGAAGACGAAAAGATGGCAAAAGAAATAAAATCAAGGTTTGCGTGTTTCTTCAATTTCATCTTCACCTTCATCTTTTCTCTTCCCTCTGATAAGATGATATCAAACATTATTTACGAACCAATTGAGAGTAACTTATTTCCTCATTTAATATATTTCCGTTTACTTCATTCATCTTCATCTTTTAAATCATCTCCACCTCCTACTTTATCATCATCTATATCATTCAACATCTTAAAATTGTAATATAATAACAAGGTAAAGATGAACATAAAAAACAAACGATTCTTGCCTTTTTGATTCCTTTACCTTTAAACAGGGCAATACATGAAATAATAACCTTCTTGCCCTCTCATCTTCAACTCTTCTGGTTTCATGCGAAAACCATTTCAATACAAATATTGAACAGTTTTTATTCAGTGAAACTCAAGTTTATGTGGCGATTGACGTTATTGACTGTTAAGGCTGATATAAATCTGAGAATGATGAGAATGAGAATGAAACTTGAAGATTGCGTGTGGATGAATCTTGAAAGAGATGTAACTTGGAGTTTTCATGGGAAATCCAGTTTAGAGAGAAGCGCAAAAAATGGTCACGCAATCAAATGGGACAATCAGTTTTTTTGAAAAAAAAATCATCAATAGTATCATCTTCATTCTTTGTGAATATGGATGATGATGAAGATCTCATCTTTCATTGGATTCATCATATTCCCACGCGTACATCAAGTAGCAACAAATAGAAACAGAGCAACAACTTAAGGCAAGAAAAAAAGCCACAAAAGAAGAGATTATTCAAGTGAAAAATGGTGGCAAAAAGCAATTGCAACAAAAATTATCCTCCAATTTGATTGTAAAATCGAAGTTGATGCTTTTCAAGCGTTTTGTTTTTATTTTTCCATCGACAAACCACCAATCAAGCTAACAGTGTTTACAGTCTTTGATAAAATGCGCATTTATTATTGATAACGTAATATGTATATGTCCTGTAACCATCAATAAAAGTGTACAAAAGCAAAAGTGACAAGCTAAAAACTAACAACATAAGGTTAACATCAACACAAACTTTCTGTGTTTTGCACTAATGTTGCTATCTGTTATTCAACAATTCAATGTATACATTACTTGGATTGACCTTTACTTGTCAATGTAACCATACATCAATCAAAATTACATTTTTTGTTGCACTTTTTTTTCTTCTCATTTCTGGTCAACACATTTTTTTGAGTTTCATATTGTTGTTGATGTTTTTGCTGTTTGCAATTCTAACTGCGGCATTGAACAATCAAAATGAAAAGGAAAGGCTAAGAATGAAAAGTTGAATGAAAAAATTTATGAAATTGGGTTAACTTCAAGATTAATAATTTGTTTTGCCAGTCAAATGTTTTTCAATGAACAGAAACTTTTGTTTTGCTTTCAATGAAGATCTTGATTGAAGTGAAAAATATTTCACTTTACAAACTTAGATGTCCAAATGGTCTCTCACCTGAATAATAACTAAAACGTTGAGGTATATCAGCCGAATCATCGATACTATCAAAAGGCTGGCCTGGTCCTAATGAACGCATTGGACCTCTGCCTCTAGGATTCCTCATGAAACCGCGCCGATGAGAGTGAATACCTGCAGACTTCATTCGACGCTCCTTGGAACGGCGATTTTGAAACCAAACCTGTGAAACACAAAACATAAATTTAGTAATGAAACAATTCGTATTGAAACAACATCGGTTGAAACAATTTGATTTTCACCAAAATTACATTCATTAATCGTATTAACCGATTAACATTTGCAAAATGAACTTTACTCTTAATTGACTTTTATCCACTTTTGCTGCAATTGTCAACATTTGATCTAACAAGTTACACTGTTAGTTGATATTTCAAGTTACCAATTTTTATCAATTAATTTGCATAATTGAAGGTGAGTGAAGAGGACATGAAAGATGAAGGATGATGAAAAACAAAAGAGGTGAATAGCTGATGAGGTTAAAGTGGAAGAGACAATATGACAATGAGAGTCAAAAATGAGACTTGAATGGAAAGAGTATCATGATTAATATTATTAATAAAGTCAAGAAGATTAATTTTTGTTCATTGTAATTAGTAAACTTATACAATCAAGACACTCGACTTACATGATAACAAGCGAACAATTAATCAAAACTTTTGAAAACATTTGCAATTGTCAAAGAAACTGAGCATTTTGAAAAGACTAATTGTTCACAAAAGTTGACTTTTTAAAAATTAATCAAATGGCAAAAGAGCTTGCCGTTTAAATGAGTCCATTTCAAATCAAATATTGACCCATTGGTTGATTACAAAATTAATGACTATTATTGACCAACAAGTGTACAACAAATTTTGTTGACTCAATTGGTGTTGAACAAGAGACGATAAAAGGGTGAATTGTGTGTTGATTAAGTTTTTGTTTCATTGTTGATTAATAATTAATTATATTGTTGACTAACAAAAGTGTGTTACAATATTAATCAAGTTTACGGGTTTGCACCTTTATCATTAAAAGCTTGTACTGATTATAATGTGAATGTCAGTCAATGTGAATATTTCATGGCAATTAAGAGTAACTTTACTGTTAAGGAAGGGATGAACAATGAAACGGATGAAATTGCTTCAAGATGGTCAACATGTTTAATCAATGATTAATGGTAATGGCTGGTTTAATCTTTACCTGGATAACTCTCATTGCTAGGCCAGTTTGATTAGCAAGTTGTTCACGAATGTGTCTTGTGGGTTTTGGTGTATCGGCAAATGCCTGTTTAAGTGTTTCCAATTGTTTGGCTTTAATTGTTGTTCTCGGCCCTCTTCTTTTTGTTCCCGGTGTATTTTCATCACTATTATTGGCATTATTACAACTATTATTTGATGAATTGCTATCTCTATTACTATTATTACTATTAGAAATATTATCTCTGTTACTAGAATTATTATTAATATTACTATTACTACAACTACTATTACTATTATTTGAATTATTATTGTTATTTGTGGAACTACCAGTTAACGCAACTCCCGATGTAATTGAGGTTATACCAAGGATTGAGGGTGGACCACCGCCACCACCTCCCGATCCGTTACAGTTTAAAGGAGATGAAACGGTTAAGGTGTCACTTAAAGGTCCGGTAAGACCTGATTCAGAGACTGAACTGGATGATGCAGACATGGGTGAACTTTTACATGAAAGGCCTAAAGGTGGACCTGATCCATTGCCGGATGAGGGTGGTCGAGTGGAGGATGAAGATGAGTAATGAGTTAATCCGGTTAAAGAGGATAAACCAGGGATGGAAGTGCTTCCAAGCAGTTTATCTTCACAGTCAGAGTCACCAAGTAAATGCTCAGATTCAGAGGGTGAAATCATTGACTCCTCTAGATCAGCTTCTGATGGTGATTCTAATTTAATACCTGTAAAAATAGAGAAACAGAAAAGTTGGTTAAAATAATGTTATCATTAAACAATGAATCAAGCATGATATGCAGGTTAAACTATCATTTGGACTTAAGTTGTTGTTCAAACATTTACTGAGTATCATGGTATCATCAACTTGTGATTGCTCTTCAAGACTCTATCAAATACCTGGAGTCGAGTGAAAGACAATTTCAAGTTCAAAGCTGATTACAAAAAACTAGCTCAAACAATGGACATTAATGCATGTTAATTGAAATTGCATGGTAAAGCCTATTAATTATTGCATGAGGCAAAGTGAAAAGGCGGCAATTATTTCATTTCTGTTATCGTTTGCACGATTTGAATCTTTGAATGCTGTTACAATTGCACGGAATTTAAGCAGATAATAATAATAAACAACAACAACAGCACCAGGGAATTAGAAGATTGCAATAAAAAGTTTGAAAGGTTTCAATCAACAATTGAGTTATTACAATAGTGATGAGGAAAGGTAAAAAGGTAAATATATATTTTTGTGAAAAAAATTTAATACCCAATCAAGAGATGATAACAAGATGGTGAAATAACATCTCCATCAATTGATTTAATATATACTTTATTTGATGAAATAAATTATGATAACAATTTTTGTATTATCATTATTGATTGGCAATAATTTTGATAATGATAATAAGAGTAATAATGATAATCAATGAAAGGAAATAAAAAATGAAAATTATTAAAGATCAACAAACGGATGTTGGTTATGGATGAATGGACTAGTTTTGCCATTGCAAGAATGAGAAATCAAATGATGATTAGGAACAGTGAAGATGATGAGATTGTTAACAAAAGAGAAGTAAAATTGATAGGAAATATTGGTTAAAATCATATTTCAAGTAACTGGTACAGATGATCTTGACACTGAACATCTTGCGGCAAAATCTTGTTCCATGTAACAAATGATGTTGAGCATGAAGATGATGAAGATAAGTGAGAGAAGAAAAATCGAAAGTTTCCATGAAAGATGAAAGAATCAAGAAAGTTGCACTTTTTTCGCGTCTTTCACTTTACAATTGTACAAGTCAAATAATGAGATATCAAATGTTTACCAATAAACTGCCCACTCTTGTCCACCCACACTAATCGCTATCATCATCACCATTATCATCATTTGACTACTTTTTGAGACATTTTTTGTTTCCAATTTTTATCCATTCATCTTTCACTGTTTCACCCATCAATTTAACCTTCTTCATCTCTTTTTACCTTTACTCTCATCATACAACCTTCAATCATCAGCTCAACGTGTGTTTTCCTTGTCAGTAACATTTCATCTCATCAACATCAACATCATCATCAATTCATGAAGAGAGCCTATTTTGAACCCACTGAGAGAGAATGAAATTTTAGATGTTTTCTCCTCTCTCTCTCTTCTCTCTCTTTCAAACTCACTTTATGCAAAATTAAATTTTAAATATAACTTGAGTCCCAGGGATTCTTCATTATCATTATTTAAAATGATTGTGATGATGATATTGAAGGAAAGAGAAAATTGCAAAACTGAAAAGTTCGACATCGAGTTTCATGTACTTTTTATACATTGATTGAATTGTCTGAATAAGATTCAGGATAAATCTGAAGACAAGGTTGAAAAATGTGTTAGACATTAAGAATGAAAAAAGTCAACTTGCAAAAGGCAATCAATGTATATGAGCTATAAATGATGCTCTTCATGAAGGCTGGAATATTAAGACGCAAAAGACAGAAGATGAATAAGTTCAGTAGTCAAAATAATCTGAAAAGCCCATCAAAACTGTTTTTTTTATTTTGCAAAAATTTACTTCTTTTCTGTACTTGGTTTAGGTTAAAATAAGAAAAGTTAATTGACAAATTTTTCTGCCCGTTTTAGTTCTTTTTTGCAATCCGTGCTAAGTCCAGATATCCCGCCAAGATGAAGATGAAGGTGAGGATGATGAAGATGATGAAGAAAAGGGTACATAATGAATACGTTTTTTTCTCTCTCATCTTTCCTTCTTTAACTGTATTAACAAACTCAGTGAGACTCTGTGGTTATGTTTCTGGTCATGTTGTTTTTGATGTTTTAAGATGAGATGATCACGCACTGCAGGAGTTTATACTGGTGTGTGTGAGAGAGAGAGAGTTTCATCTTTAAACATCATCTTCAACATGATCATCAGCATCATCTTCTTCCTCTTAAATGTTCACAACATGAATTTCCGTTCTGATTTCAGATTTAATAGGGAACATAATGAAACAAGAACCATTTAAGGTGGAGGATATAAAAAGCTGAAGGAATGTACAAACTTTCATTTTTTCATCTTCATCTTCATTATCATCATTATCTTTCCGTTAACATTTCCAATAACCGTCATCATTTGCTTCAAATTACACCAACAATTTGTTGCAAATCCAAAGGTGAACAAACACAAATCTAGAATCAAGTGAATTTGCTGTAAACGATAAACCATTGAAAGACCATTGAAAAAGGCCGATCTTTTCAAGTAACACAAAGTTGAAAATAACACTTCCACCAGTAATTCAGTTAAATTGCAAGAAAATTGTAAATTGCAAACTTTTGGAAAGGTAAACGACAAATGTTGGTGCAAAGAAACGGTAATGATGAAAAGTGTAAAAAAGCATCTCATTTGCATTGACTAATTGCAGTTTTGTGAAAACATTTTTTTACCTCATTTTTTTGAGGGAAAAACATTTTTACCTCGATTTGCACGTTCACAAGTAACCAAGAGAGGAGCTTCTTATGGATCAATGGACAAATTTGCAGTTGTTGAGTAGGAAGCAAAAAGCGATCTAAAGAATGCACATTTTTAGGAATTTAACTTGAAAAAATTCATCATCACCAATGGACTTTTCCTTCTTCCTCATCACATTTCAAGTAACCATTTGGCTTTATCGCTCAATTACACCACAGGAATTTCAAATTTACACTTTCTCTTTCCTCTCTTTATTCCTCTTTTCATTCTCTCTTTCTTTGTCATCAACACTTATCATTTTCATGGCAGCAAATCTCAACTCCATATTGCTTAACAAGTTTAAATTTACTAACATTCACAATTGTTTATGTTTATTTTACTCTCATCTTTTCTCATCATCATCATCATCATCTCAATCATTATCTCTCTTATGAACCAGAAACAAGTTGAAAATGTTGTGCTTTGAAAGCAAAAAATGTACGCGTGCAAAATGTTACGCAAATTTACATTGCAATTGGAAAGATTTTTGAAGAGCAACAAAAAAAAGGTTCAACAAATATTTGTAAACATGAGATGATGAAGAGGAAGAAGACATTTTTCACATTTGATATGGATATTTGAGAATAGACAAAAGTGTGTGCAAAAGATGAGGTGAAGATGATGATGATGAAGATAATGTAATATATGGAAGAGAAAGATTATTACATCATGTCAATTTGATTGTAAACATGAAGACAAACCTACTTATATGGTTCAATTGAGTGACTACCTTGGGTCTGCTGTTATTCACACAGGCAAACATTCAAAAATAGAGTCAACAATTTTTATTCAACTTTCCTTTTTTCCCTTTTTGTATCTCATTGTATCTCAAATGTTTTTACCTCACTTTTGTTTCCCTGTAAATCATGTTGATAACTTTCAGGGTAAAAGTTTTATTGGAACACGAAGGAGAAGAAAAAAGCTCAGATTAACAGCTAATTATACTGTTCAAGTGTCGGTTGAGATAAAAATGAAAATTTTCACATCAACTTTTCAAGTTGCTCCTTTAGTCTTGCAGTTGTTCAGCAAACATGATACAGATTGAAAGAGGATGGAGTAAGAAGAAGAGAAGAAGAAGAAGAAATACCAGAAGAAAATGATGGTGAAGATGATGGCGATGGTGAAAACATTGAGACTACATCATTTGAGCACGCATACCCTGGGGAATGAATTTACAATTTTGCGGTTTCATTGAGATTGATGATTAATCATGTTTGATGTGAGCCAAGTTGAACTGAGATTCAAGCTCTGTTAACTATATTGCAAGGGATGATTTGGGATTGCCTCGCCATCATCATCACCATCATCTTTTGCTTTTCCTCTTTTATCGTCATCTTCAAATCTATCTCTTTTTTGCCGTCCTCTCTTTGTCCAAACCTCTTTCTTCATCAACAATATCATCATTCTCTATCATCTTGGTCTCTGTCTTCAATCAGTAATCATTTTATAGGAAAATATCTTTAGGGCTTTGGTTCCTCTCATTAATTTCTGTGAATAGCTAAGTGTCAATGTGAATTGCTTCCATTTTTAGTCCCTGATAAACCTTGATGAAGAGAGCAAAAATTGAACCCTTTTTTGGCTCATCATTTGTCAATTATCTTGATCAATCAACAAACTCGACTACTGTCAGTCTCAAAAGTCTTTGTTTATTCATCAACTTTACAATTTTCCCTCCCAATCTGAGTAAACATGAATTTTCATTTTTCAAATTTTTACCTCTTCTTTTTGTCCAATTTTTTGACAACAAAGTGCTCTATGTTTTTCATATGTAACTTCAATGTTGACTGATTAAGGTTTCAATAGATTTATATTGACATATAAGATGATAGAAAAGATTAAGGGAAAATAATGAAGAAAAAAGTTTGTTTTTTTGCTGTAGAGTTCAAATTAAGGTTATATTGATTAACATTATAATAGACTTTTTTTTCTTTCCCTTGTATTGTCAATTTTACCTGTAATCTGAATTTTAAAGGGTAAAGAAGGTGAAAATGAAGTTGAAAGAGGATGGAAAAAAGTAAAGAGCTAAGAAGAAGAAGAAGAAAAATAATCAAAATAATGATAATGATGATTATTCTGATTCTTTGTAGATTGATTCATGATAATAAACACATATAAACACACATACATATACACACACTTGATGTCAACTATCGATTTGAATTTCCTCTCTTAAGCTATTCAAATGTCATCATACAATTCTTGTTGTTGTGTTGACATGAAACGGGAAGAATAAAAAAAGAAAG